ATTTACTGATAATATATTTTCTTAAAGATCTTATGAAATGAATAAAGAGCTTTGTATGCTCTTGCTTAAGGGATAGCAATTTTTTTTTTAATATTTCTCTTATCATAACCATCACTCTTCATGGAAACACATGTACGTCCACGGCCCCCAAATGTTGTAGAGGAACAATATATCTTTCACCGTTCAAATAATCTTTGAGCTTCAGTGTTGGTGTATGTCTTCGCAGTTTTGTTCTTACACGGCAATAGTCATTTATTATCTGTGAATCTGTTGATCACTTTATGAAAGTAGGAAAACGCGAGAGGGAAGTTATTAATTAACGTCCACCAAAATACTTGACTTGATATGTCCGAATGTCCAAATGACCAAACAAAACGCGCATACGTATGGTGACGAAAACATATACATCAGGATATAAGTTTCCTCTTTGCACACGAACAAACCAGATTATATTTTGTAACGTGTGATGAAAATGAATGTGTGTGATTTATTTATTTACATATGATAGCTGACTACGCCCACTTCTCATTACATTCAATCAAATCTTTTTTTATTGCTTGTATTGAAGTATCAAATGAATAAATCAATAAGGTCTATCGTATTTATTACATACATGCATTTATTTATGCCATGTATCAATACTTAAACAGAACCTGAAACACGTTGTTACTCCACAATTAAAATATATTCGTTATTGCATGCCATATATTACTCAATTGCGGAGCATATATTATTCATGTATTAAGAGTGAATTTTATTGGTTGAATTTTTCGGCCTGAAACTTAACATTTCAGTCATGTTTTCAGATAAGATGTTAAAGTTAAGTAATGCTAATGAAAGGTTAAAATGAAGTATCCAGAGCTATCAAATTTCAATACTAAGACCCACTCTGTGTTGTTTTATTTTTAGATATTCGTGCTCGTTTCCAACAATAAAAGCAATTTCTTAAACTTTTGACATTAGAGAAATAGCTGAATTCAAATTATTTCAAAAGCCACAGACGTCCATTATCGATGAATTTAATCTTATTGAATTCATCTTGTTTTACGAACACGTGAACGGAAGGCCAATTTTCACACTACTTACTTCGGGCTATATATACCTTGGTGATTATTGGCAGTGGTCTGTCGGTCCTGAACTTTTCTGATAATATATCATGCCAATAATTATTGACGGAAGTCAGTCAGTCTTGAACATGCTGATAGTAACCATTGCCGTAGGTCGATATTATTGCTGTGAAGCCCACATAATACGAAGAAAAGGGGCCCCAAAAAGGATATCGGAAAGCACGGTGATTCGAATTCATTATGTGGTGCAAAATACCAAACACTTCACGAAGAGAAGAAACTACGAATGAATTTATCAACACCGGAAGTGATAAAAAGTATGCCAGAACATTAAAAACTGGAAGTACTCCAAGGAACCAAACAGAATTCGAAAAAGAGATTTGTTCTACGAAACCCGGATCTAACATTAAATTAATGTCACTGTCGGTAAATACGTTCAAGATTAGTACACAATATTGTTCCTAGGTCGAAACATCCTGTCTTTCAATGCCGTCGGCAGCAAACCAGAGTCTATGAATAAATCTGGAAATATCGCAACCAATTTGGTTGAAATATTCTTCTTTCTTGATGTTTTTTCCCCAAAACACCGACAATTTTCTTGTTTGTTATGAGGTCATCTCCATACCATCCCTTTTTTCGACTGAATAAACCACTAATTGTTGTCTCTAATCTAAGTTAAAATATTCAAGCGTGGAGCTATTTTTATCTAATATTTTACAAAATTTACTGTTTTTACAAAATTTACAATAGTATAATTTAGAATCAACTTGTCGATCTATATTGTTTTATGCATAGACATTCAGATCGAAAAACATCAGAGTATATGCAATCTACATATTGTATGTGTGATCCTGTTTAATGTCAGGGAAATAGAATTCATTTATCTGTTGGTGATATTTTGTAAAAAGGTGACAAGTTATTATGGAAGTATTATTTGTCAATAAAAATGTGCCTTGTGTTTTTGTTATATTTACCACTCGCTTCTAAATGTCGTTAACACATCATACAATCATGTCTCATTCAGACTGCATCACCTCATGAAAAGTTTCTCATGGAGCATCTTCTCCCAGGAAAGTTTTCGGGAAAATTAAATTGATTTTGGTGCATTCTGACACATATTTTTGGGCAAAATGTATAAAATCTTACTTTTTAAAATTGTTAAAAATACAGTGGTTGTACAATTCGGGGTACCCCCAATGGATTCAGTATTGTACACATACATAATCATCTACTAGGAGAAAATAAACAGAATGAAAGATCTAACTCTTCATTTTAAAAATGGATACAATCGGCATTTTCGGAAGTCGATTTATGACATATGATCTACATTACTAGAACTGTTACTTACGGCAACGATTAGGTTTATTCGTGTTGTTGCCTTTAACATCTTCCTCTTGCCATGGCCATCTGTATTGCCGTCATCGTCACCAAGTACTCACGAAGTTTGAACAACAGAATGAAACGTAGTGAAATCACGGTTGCAACGCACACGAACCAATGCGCCCGACCAGAATGAAATGACTAACCTAGTTAACCGCCATCCTAAAGGCGTGACTCTTTGCCTCATTCGAATACCTAAAAGGTTTTCTCCATATCAATCACTCTGATTGCTGTCGCAATTGCCAGCCCTGTTACTAAAATAGGTGATGATGTATGGAATATAACAGATTTGCTTGCTTTTGCTTTGGAAAAGGTTAAAAGGTCACCTTCCATCTAATAGTATTTAGTATCTTCAGGTGGAAACAGAGCATTAATCAAATCTGGTAAAAATAGTTTCTTTATCCTAATTTTAGTATCTACAAATAACAGTAAATTAAAAAGAATTGAGAAGGAATGCCGTGAGTTGTATCTGAAAATAGGCTGCGTCTAGTAAACCACATCTTCATATTATATGTTAGTCTACATGGTCTGAAACTATGACTGTTGAAATCACGATACCATGGCATGGCCAAAATAAATCTAATAATTTTACATTAAAGTGACTGCTGACCAAATGAAGCATACCATTTCAAACGCAAATGCAGGGTCGTAACCAAAGAGTCTTTCTATGAGGGATTTTTGGCGAGCGTAATGAGGTGACAAATTTTATGGGCCAGTGGTCTAGATAGGATTTGCTTCATTTGCTTACATATTATTTTTTAATTACGGCACTGAAGAAATTTCAAGTAAAAGTGATTTGAACTTCATTTTTATGCTTCACTGTAACATGGAAATTATCCCTTTCATGATGTTTTATGATTTCATTCATCTTACTAACACTATATTATGTGGCCTATGATTTCTTGACCGCTATTGGCTATCCATTAAACGCGTTATACTCATTCTCATACATAGTTAGGCCTTCTAATGACTGTCAAATAGCCTGGTACTAAACATAACTTTAGGAATGGTTTTGTTGTTCAAGTATGATAAATACCTGGGATTGAAGTAGCATTTATTCAATTATTTACATATATATGTGAGATACCAAGCAAAAACAACATTTAGCAAATAAGTGGGACTATGTGCTAATTTACAAGAATTACTCCTTAAGCCGTACGATTTATCTGTGTATCAAAAGGAGACAATAACCAGCCTTAATTAATTTGAAGCTAATACATAACCACCCTTTTATTCAAAGCTTTTTTGGTACAAATCGGAACAATATAACATTTTAAATATATCAAGAGTGATATTGTATTTATAAAAATGGTGGCTCAGTACTTCCGTGTCACATACATAGATACATATTGTTGTATGTGGCTTAAGGTTATATCAATTCTAATTAACGATACTTCTCGTTAACCTGTCATCTTTATGAGATTAACAGGATATATGTTTCCGTCGGTGGTACTGCGTTCTTCTCAAGTCGTACAGACTTTCAACCTTCGAGTCTTCCTTGCTCTAAGAATGGTTGACTAACTCTCTCACTTTTACCTGTTCACAAAATCATTCTTTATTTCTCACTGTTGATCGTTGTTACTTCTATTATGTTCCATTATCAAAATATATATAATTTTATTTTGAGCAATATTGTTCATTTAGAATAGAAACCATTGCTACTACAAAAATAGCAGGACAAGCGTAAATTGTTACCAGACTGATGTTAATCATTATACCTAGTATTTAGTCTACAAGAAATTATCTTGATTCTCTAGATTCGGTCAGTCGATATCATCGCCATTACACCTTTCCCCCTTTCCTGCTATCTTTAGATAAATACTTAATGTAACTAATCGGCAATAATAAGTTTCGTATAGTACCTTATCTTGACGCTATAGAAGGCATACCACACCAGCCGTGGTACATTATTGATAATAGTCCAAGAGCACTATTTACAACCTGTAGTTTCCTTACAGTTGAAGTTTTAATAGAATAGAAGTCATCTAGTGATAAAATATAGCTACTAAATCCAAGCGGTCATTCACAAATAAGGAATATGTCACATGCATCATCGAACGACGAATGGAAGAACGTTACATAAAGGGAAGTTGATATATGGTGTAGAATTAAATTCTTAGCTATGTGACAGTGAAATATTGAATTAGACCTAGTTGTATATACAATAGGATAAACAGAGTATATTAGAAATGGAAATAGTTTGTGTCGAATTCAGGAATTGATAATGATTCTGTGTCATTATTTTGCTCTTTATTTGAGATTAATTATGTAAATGTGCTAGCTAAATCGACGTCGGAAACTGGAATCGAATTTTTATTAATGATCAGTGAAATAGATACGTCACCAAATCAAATGTTTGTATATAGACAATTTGAAGTATCGCATCACTCTGGAGCCTTGCTCTGTCCAGATAAGATGAACGTCTAAGAGGTTCAATACATCACATTCCGAAACCCATATACGGATTAAGATTAACATTATTGTGATAAGGAATACCAAAATAGGCATACCTGTGATAAAACAGCCATCTGGCAGCACGTCACTTCTTCAATGATGGAATTGGTACAAATCAACGTTGGTGGAAAAGTGTTTTTAACTACCAAATCAACACTGTCAAAGATTCCCAATACCAAACTCTCTGATTTAAAAGAAACATCATCTCATTACCGCACCGAGTTCAAAGACTTTTATTTTGATCGAGATCCAGAAGCGTTTTCATGTATTTTGAATCTGTATCGAACATCAGAGCTGCATCTAACATACAAAGTGTGTGGTAACGCCATCAGAACAGAACTCGAGTATTGGGGAATCGACGTGAACATTGTCCGCAGTTGCTGCTGGAAAAAGCTTTTCGAAGTCGACGAAGATGAAACCATCTTGAAAACGTTAAAGAAAGGAATTTCTACTTGCGATGTAATGTATGGCGATCATAGTTCGTCTAAAAGACAAATTTTGAAAAATAGAATATGGATTTTACTGGATAAACCAAATTCCTCCACAGCTGCCAAGGTGAGTCCTGATTCAATTTGCAAATCGTTCCACATTATATCATATTACATTGGTTGTTCACTGCTAGATATTCAAAAATATACACATCGTATTCAGCTGGTAAGCTGATATTGCTTTAGACATTGAAAAGAAATCTAGTAACTCATATTGCTCATAATTCATTAGTCTGATAAGGTTTAGAAAAACGATACTCGAAACACTTATTCGTCCAATTATTCATTGAGCGCTTAACCGATGGTCGTAAGTTCTAACTGTAACTTCACATTTCAAATCTTAGATGTATCAGGTTATAAAATATTATAGTTATAGATATAAATGTATATTGGTTTCTTATACATAATAAATAGCTAATCAAGATAAGTAAGGCGTCTCCAGACTCAATTGTACTAAGAGAAGTGATGTCAGGAACAAATTCAAACTGATCATCCAGTTGATTATTTTGGTTTTTAAGGTATTATTTAGTACGTACAGAACTTATAAATGTTTTGGTTTAAAAAAGAATTGGCGATATTATGATAAAACCATTAATGAAATTTTACTTGCAAATTGATATACACTTTAAAAACAGAATGATTTACAGATAAGGAGACTATTAGTATATAGTTAATAAATATTAATTATTTATTAGTAATCTGAATTATAAGGGTGTAAAATATGTACATTACTAATAATTGGCTACCTTTGATGAAAATTCTCCTGAATAATTGCTTATATTGTCTTGAAAACATTAAGGATTTACAGATAAACAGACTTTAAATAGCTGATAAACTGTAAAGGGTAAATGTTCGTGGTCTGAATTATTCTAATATAAAATGTGAACACGACTAATGAAACCGTAAATAAAATTCTCCTAAATGCTCATATTATTGTCTTTAGAACAGAATGATTGTAAATAAGCAGTGGTTAAAGTGACAGATTTGCCAATCGTATACCTTGGTCTCAGAAACGGATTTTTTTTACATAAGCTAATTAATAATAGTGTTCACAGCTCGAAATTTAAGTCTTCATATCCATGTAGTCCATAATATGAAAGGTATCGTCAAGTATCGATACACGGCGTCGCGATACGATACACGTATCGTGGCATGTCTTATCGCAATAGATCGATTCACAGATATATCGTGTTAGAACTAATATTTATACATGTAAACATAAAAAATTGAAACCTTTAATGAAATTCTCATTAATAATTGGTCTTACAAACCTATAGACTTACGGCTTAAAATTCCATTGTTAATAGTCGATTGCCGTAAATCCTTATTAATTTCATTGTAAGTAAAACGAATATATAAGATATGAAATGTATATACTGCTGATGAAATCTTTAATGAAATTCTCCTGCTGACATAAAACAGGAAAAATTGCCGTTTAACAGACGAGAATTAGTTGAAAACGTTGAACTGTAAATGATCGTGAACTTAATCGTAAAGGTGTACATATCACATCTAATTGAAATCTTTAATGAAATTATTCTAAATAATAAGTCAGACCTAAAACAGGAAGAATATGTACTTTACTAATGAAGCCTTTAATGAAATAGGTCATTCCGACTCAAACCATTTCCCATTAAGCAGACTTTAATTAGTTGATAAAAGTTAAACGTTAATAATTGAAATGTTTTTGATCTGAATTATAAAGGTGTTATATTTGAATTAATGTAACCTTTGATGAAATTCCTTATTAATTGGTGATACCGACAATAAACAGGAGGAATTGTGGCTAAACAATTTATAGTTGATAAACGTAAATTCTTATTAATATTGTTAGTAATCAGTATATAAAGACGTGAATTGTGTACTGTACTAATGAAACCTTTACTAAAATCGGTCATTCCAACCTTAAGACTATGAATTACCGCTTACCAGACCGTCTGTTGTTCGTAAATCATTAGCGTTAAATACAATCAATTTTGTTGATATATAAACGATATAGATTCATTATAAACTCATTAAATATTGTAATAAATCTAAATTTCCATCAGTAAACCATATAGATATGTAAAAATATAAACAGAAACAGTTAACAGAAGTTGGTTCGTCTGACTGGTGTTCTGTTAATGTTCTTATTTAATTTCAATTTGTTATACTTGTATATAGAAAATATGCGCAACTGACACACTTCGACTTGCTATAACGGTATAATTATATTTATACCTCAATTAAAGAATGAAATTAATTACCAAACTCTCACAATATGCTTAAGACATAAAAAAAAAACCACCTCGAAAATACTCGACTTTACATTATACGAAATATGACGAGGAATCTGTGTATTGTATTCCGATCTGTTGTGTTATGATTCTGTTTGTAAAGTAACTAGGAAATAAGATAAGATATATTAAAGATAAGATATAAAATATGAAAAGATGATACATGTATATCGTATCATCACAGCATGCAAAAAAACATATACATTATTCAATAATACAATACTGAAAAGAGATTTCAATGTGATAAAGATTGTGATAAAAAAAACCCCTCTATTTTATGATTAACGTGTGATATGAAAATAACGAGATCATAATAGTTTGAAATATGACATATTATATTGAACCGTTATTAGCAATATAATTACAAGTATCGTTGAAACGTAAAGATATAAACATAGAGATATAAACATAGAGATATAAACATAGAGATATAAACATAAAGATATAATCATGCAGGAGCTAACCACTCACTGTTGTTGCTGTGCGCTAGAGTTTACCTGTTTATTTCATGTACAGCCTCTCCCAGGCATGTACATTTAGGAGCATCAAATCCCCCCTTCTCCTTAATTTAATACAATTGTACAACTCTTAGAAAGTCCAAACACGGTTACGCAGACAGTTACGTCATTGTTTTGACCAATCATACCTTAGTTTCACAGAAACTGATTTTTTTAGCTAAGCCAATCAGTAATAGTGTTCACAGCTCACCTTCGAAATTATAGCCTTCAATTCCACGTGAATCAAGTATTATCCCCCTTGGAAAGTTAAAAGGACGACTCGTCTTGAGACATTGCCATATATAGAAAAGACATCTATAGATATGGGATATTTTTGAAGGAAATAAGCTATTTTCCTATATTTCTAGGACTATCTGAAGACTGACTATTTACATATCAAGAGTCAAATCAACCTCCTCAAATGGCTTTTCTGAAGCTCAGTGGCTTTAAAATGAAAGAGGTACATGTGCTCGGTGGATCAAGTAGGGTTTTAAATGAATTAGTTTAAACAAAACCAGAAAGCTATATTTATAATTATCTCAAAAATTATTTTTATCTATATCTTGTAATTCACACTGTGCAGTAGATCAGACAACAACATGTTGCAAAGATCTAAGACATCGCTTATCAAAACCAGCCGAAAAAGCTTCACTGCATAGGCCATTGAACAACAGGATATAAAGAAACATAAATTGATCTCGTCCATTGCAGGCCAAACTTGTTAGCGGTTATCTTTGTAGGATTTCTTGTACAATTTTTAGCTGATTACTAATTCAAGGTCAAGACATTCGAAGGCCCATGAAGATAAAGTCCATGCCTCGACAACCAGTGGAGATATACGTGTCTTCAAGATAGAGATTCTACATAACGCTGATTATTTCAGCTCCCTGCGAAGTGAAGTATCAGACGGTCTCTTCTATTAACTCCAATGGATATTAGATTCACTTTCTACGTGATTTCCGCATATAATGTTCTCCACAACGAACCACTTTGACTTTGAAAGTTAATAATTTAACTCAGAATGTCTATCCATGATAATTATTTGACATGCTTCCAACAATATCATCGTCTGAAATCTTGCTAATTCGTATCGATTAATCCTTAGCTTGCAGAGAGTCATATAAATCTAATACACCTTAATAGCTGTGTGACTTTTCAGAATATTGCTAGAAATAAGAATTGTCAGCGTTTTTATACGATATCATACATAGAGATAGCTTCCAGCTGGTAAATCGTTTTTATACGATATCGTACATAGAGATAGCTGCCAGCTGGTAAAGAGTTTTTATACGATATCATACATAGAGATAACTGCCAGCTGGTAAAGAGTTTTTATACGATATCATACATAGAGACAGCTGCCAGCTGGTAAAGAGTTTTTATACGATATCATACATAGAGATAGCTACCAGCTGGTAAATCGTTTTTATACATCATACATATAGAAATAGCTGCCAGCTGGTAAAGTTGTTTTTATACGATATCATACATAGAGACAGCTGCCTGCTGGTAAAGCGTTTTTTTTATACGATATCATACATAGAGATAGCTACCAGCGGGTAAAGAGTTTTTATACGATATCATACATAGAGATAGCTACCAGCTGGTAAATCGTTTTTATACGATATCATACATAGAGACAGCTGCCAGCTGGTAAAGCGTTTTATACGATATCATACATAGAGATAGCTACCAGCGGGTAAAGAGTTTTTATACGATACCATACATAGAGATAGCTACCAGCTGGTAAATCGTTTTTTTACGATATCATACATAGAGACAGCTGCCTGCTGGTAAATCGTTTTTTTATACGATATCATACATAGAGATAACTGCCATCTGGTAAAGCGTTTTATACAATATCATACATAGAGATAGCTTCCAGCTGGTAAATCGTTTTTTTATACGATATCATACATAGAGATAACTGCCATCTGGTAAAGCGTTTTATACAATATCATACATAGAGATAGCTTCCAGCTGGTAAATCGTTTTTATACGATATCATACATAGAGATAGCCGCCGGCTGGTAAAGCGTTTTCTTGAAATTGACGTCAACGTCACTTTAATAAAACCATCACCAGCACACAGAAACCTTGTACAATATTTACTTTTATGTTTTCAGTAAATATTCTTTTAATTGAAATTAATTAAACAAGAAATGTGTGGAATTGAAACCAATAATTAATTCGAAACTCTAACTTACAAGTTCTTTTATTTCTTCTATTTCCTTGAAATATCACGACAAAATCATGTATTAGCAAAAGAATCATCATCTAAAATCATCATCACA